CCTAGGATGGTTGGGGTCTAGGAAGACGCCGAGCTGACGCTCCAACCTTCCGTAGTTGAAGTCGAGGAGTTGGCTGCCTCCGGGGGTGCGGGCCTCCTAGCGTATGCAGCCGCAGCTCCTCAAGCATCTCGATGATCGCATCGAGGCCGGTGGTGTGGAAGGGTTGAACGACGACGAGCGCCCGCGCCAGCTCTCGCTCCGTCGTGACGATGAAGTCCAGGTCCCCAAAATGCACGTGTGCGCCTGGGACCCAGCTGATGCCGTGACTAGCCATCCGTGGCCTGATGTTAATGCTGGGACACGCAAAGCCCCCTACCTGGCACGCCAACTGTTGGTGTTTTGAGTAAACACCAACGAGTAAATTTGTATTATTGCACGTCTGGCCCGGATGGTGTGCTAAAAAGACACAAGGTTTATACTAGTTCGGGCAGAATGTCCCTACGTTCAGTTCATGGCTACTGCTCGTGTTATTAGCACTGGATAGTTTATAGTAAGGATTACAAATGGACGAGGGAGGGATAGGTCCCAAGTCTCTGATGGAAATATCAAATGGGTAATGAGAGCTCGGTCACTACTCGGCTATGTGTTCGAGGTTCGATGCTAGTAGTTCTGCTGTGATGCGGTGTGATGTGCCATGTCGTGAATCGATCCCCCTTAGTGGGGTGTCCTATTTTCCCTTTTATAGGCCAAGGGAGAGCATGAGTTACAGATGGGAGAAAAGAGGAAAACGAGAGGCAAAGGAAGCCCTTCAGGGTCATCGGATCTTTCTTTTCCTCCGTGCGGGCCCCGCTGACATGGCAGGCGGTGATAGGGACAGCCCCACGCCGGGCGCCTATCTGCTGACCATGATAGGGCCACGCGGGGCTCCTGTTCGCTGACAATGTCATGTCCTGGCATTGTCAGTAGGTCGTCACGTCTCACTCCATCCTGGCGGGCGGCGCGGTGAACCGGCGTGCTGATCAGCGGACATACAGAGAGTATGCAGCACAGTGACCACGCGTCCGTCACTGTGGGCGATATGAGTTCCCTAGAATGACATGTCGTGGGGGCGGGTCGTGCTGAGATGTGACCGCTTCCTGCACGACTCTAGAGGTTTGACCTTGGGTCACACCTCCTAGACCGTAGTGGTTGTTGTGAGCTTCCGTAAGGATCCGTGCCCGAGGGCAAATGACGGCGCCCACAACACTGTAAGGCAAATGTCGGTGCCTACAACACTGTTTGGGCTCTGACATGCCTGAAAGGTCGCAAAGCACCCTTCCGACATGGCCTGACGATACTGTCCTACAGGTGTGCAGGGTGCGGTCCTCAGTATTATGGTTGACTTGAGCGCCTTGTCTTATCTGCTCCGCCTGATTCCTAGGTCCTTACCCAGTCGGCTCCGACTGTGCGGTCAGAGAAGAGCTGTAAGCAGAGGTTCGGCGTATTCCCGGTCGGAAAAGCGGGTCGGAGTTGGAAGCGAGCGTCGTCCCCTCCTTGGCCTGGCCCTCCGGTCGGGGACTAGATCGCTCTTTCGGCTTGTTGTTAGGTATCTGGGACGGCCCAGGAGTCACGTGTTGTTGTAATGTCGTCATAGACGTCGGGCGAGGCGGAGCCAGCCCTCAAACGTCGGGCGAGGCGGAGCTAGCCCTCAGGGAGTCAGCTAGGTAGAGCCAACCCTCGGGGTCGGGCGAGGCTGGGCCTGCGGCCGCAGCACCCACCGAGGCGGAGCCATCTTTCGGGGGTCAGACGAGGCAGGGCCCATGGCCTCGGTGGCCGGACGAGGCGGAGCCCAGCAAGCGGCGTAGTCACGCTCTTGATCGCACGAACGAATCAATGTTGATGATCATTAGCTCCTCCTCTTCGGGTACCCTAGTATTGGTCCCGACAGTTCTATATGAATAATGATACATATGTTGGTAAGTGCTCCAATTTCCTTTTGTATAGGCTGTAAATGTTCTTTTCTAACCAAATATTTATTAATTTTTTTCTATTCAAATGTCAGATATTATTGGTATGCCTTTCATGGTAGTTCATTTGGACAAACTGACGGTGACTATAATTGAAAGATCCCAACTATACATATGGTTCTACTGGATGGCACATATGTATACATATCATGGATTTTAATTTTTAGTGTTTAAAATAATTCAAATTTCTTATGTTTTCTTGTAATCTTAATTGAATTTGTAGCCATAATATTTGTAAGATAAGTGTGTTCGACAAGTTAGTGACGGATAATCTAATGAAATGGAAAAAGCTAGCAGAAGATCGTGCTATTGTTGTGCTGACAATGTTACGTGGAAATAGTCTTGCTAAGTATGCCATGTTGGTTATGTATTATTTGGATAGTATTTATTAGGGTGCTCTTGTGTACGAAAAACTAATGTCACTGGCATTATTCTTTTTTTAAATTGGATTAGAGAGACGACTCGAAACTACGGAATTTAGTAGGATGCATTTTGAGCCAAAGATCGCAGCTGCGCTTGAAGCCAGGAGAAGGTAATTATAAGTTTTATTGGAGTTATATTATTGTTTCATTTATATTGTCTACTAATTACTTGTAGTTAATTGTTCCTATAGGATTAATGGAGAACCAGAGATCCATTCACCTGATCGCTGCAGGTTTGGTTGCCGCTGTTGCTGCAATTTCTAGAAGCTACTGCAACCTGCAGCCAAAAGACTAATGCCTTCTTGGAAGGCAGGAACTCTCCACGAATCAAACAAAAATGAAGAATGTAGTCATGGAGAAAAGCCGAGTCTTAGCATTTTGTTGGAACTGTCTTTTGCTGTGGCAGTGCTTTTGAGTATGCGGTGATATGGCTTTTGGCTCATTTTGAATATGTGGTGACGGGTGAATGGTGCTGTAGCTTTTGCCTAAGTTGGCGTGTAAGGGTTCTTCTTTTATGTGTCATCAAATGGATTTAGTTGCCCCAAATACTGCTACTCCGTGTTTATTTTCTTTGACATGAGATCTCGCAAATTTATGTAGCAGAGGTTACATTTATTTCTCTTATCCCAATTACTACTCCTGATCATGTAGTCACGAACTCATTTACCTGTTAGAAAGGGACCATTGAGACCTCTGTAGAATCTCTAAACCGACCTATGAATCCCTCATCTTTGACTTGAGTTGTTGAATTTTACTAATGAAAGACTGATTTCTGTACCAAGAAAGAGTACCAAAAAAGTACTTCAGTAAAAACCAAAATAAATTATTCCGGATACTTCTTGATTGCATTAATTATATGAGCTATAATGTCAAAGCATTTCACATGCTTAAAGTAGCAGGAAACAGTAACACTGATAGAAATTTTATTATGCCATGCATTGAAACTAGAAACTAAATGTTGAACTTATTCCAAAATTCTCAAAAGTGTCGACTATGCTCTAAATGTTCTTAGAATTTTATTAATAAAAGAACTTTGTTATATAAAGTTTTATTATCGATGAAGTTTAAATATACTAAGTTGATCCATTCTCATTCTATGGCCAACAAAACTCCGTACATATATAATACTATGGGCAGAAAAGCAAAGTAAAAATCTTGGGCATAAGCATTTAAAAGAAATTCGTGTGGAGGATAAGGCCACGTAGGAATGGGAAAGGAACCTATTCCCCCTGTCCCATTTTTAGTGTCGTTTTAGTATTCAATGAGGTGCAGTGAAGATTTTTTGAACCAAGATGGTGCCGATGTCCGGATACATGAATGAATTTCTGAACTTAGACACTTTGTGCCCGTGCCAGAACGACTCTGAAAAGGGGGCAGAGGGAGTAGGAGCAAAAAACCAGAGAATTGGAAAAATAGAGATATGGTGTTTGAAAAGCATTAATGAGATGATATATATTAAAACTGGAATTCAATAGTCAAAGGATCATTTAACCTTTTCCCTTAACATAGACATTGAATGATACAAGCTATTAAGATTTAATTGGATTGTCAGTAAATTTATCCTAACTGGGGGCATGTGACACACGGGTCCATGGATAAAGCACTGATAAAGCACCTCTCCGATTGGTTCTTATCTTTTTACTGTTCATCTTCTTCTCTCGAATGCTCTCCACTGCATTCTTATCTTTTTACTGCTCATCTTCTTCTCTGGAATGCTCTCCTCTCCGATTTAACTGTCAAGCAGGGGCTGTTTGGATGGCAGCGTAGGAAAGCTGCCTGAGCCAGGCATCACTCCCAGGCGTTCGATTTTGAGCGCCTGGGGTCGGATGTGCATGCCTGGCCGGCGCTCCCAGGCCAGGGCTGCATCCAAACAGGCCCTGTACACTGCGCCACCTGCTCATCTGTTCCAAGAGGCGTTGGGCTCCCCCTCCCTGCTGCCCTCACCAGGCGTTGGGCTCGGCGCCCTCTTCCCTTCCCGAGTGACGCTGCAGGCTACATGAGAGGCAAATCGATTCCTCCCCTGCGCTGTCCTCTGTTCTTGGGCTCGACGCCGCTGTCCGCTTCTTCCCGGGCGAGGCCATCCACTACAAATCCTCCTTTCCGCTGCAAAATCGCGTCTTCCCGAGCACCGTCGTTCAGTCGCCCACACCCCTCCATCCGTCGGCCGCCCCGCGTCGCCAATCCATGCGAGTATCCCCAACCACCTCCACTCCACCGTTTGGCCTTAATCCACAACGCGTTCAACGGTTAAGACGTCAGACGCAGCATGCGTTCGCCCGAGGCAATAAGGAGCACGCGCAGCGCGTTCTCCCAAGGAGATGAGTTACGCTTGGGCTGGGTGGCAGGGCCCTTCGGCGGCTGTTCATTGGCAGGGCCCTTCGGTGGTTGTTCATTGGCAGGGCCCTTCGGCGGTTGTTCATTGGCATGAACTCCCGAGCTGGTTGAGGCGCTACATACTTATTAGAGCCACAACGCTCTGCTTTCCCGACGCCGCGCCGCTCTGCCCGCCACCGTTGCGCCTCCCCCCTCAGTCCTATGGCTTCCACCGCTACCTAGCCACATCACTTCTCTCGGTTGCAAGGAGCTGGAGCACGTCTGACTGCAGCCACCTGCAGCATTGCAGCAGCGCACCATGGACGATGAGGCGACCCAGCAGCAACAGTTGAATGTCGGGTCGCTCGCCGGCGCCGGCCGTGGTGGCCACGTGCTCGCGGATTTCTGCCCCCGAGAGGTGACCTTTCGGCGCAGCGATGAACGTGATGGCGTGGAAGACGTAGAGGCCGCGCAGCCGCTGGCGCTTGGTCCAGACGAAGATTTGCCCTCCTCAGGCAGCAAGGTTTGCCCTCCTCAACCTGCAATTTAGGGGGTTTTGGTTTCTCCTACTAAACTTTAGTCTGTCCCATTAGATGTTTGGACACATGCATGGAGTATTAAATATAGACTAATTACGAAACTAATTGCATAGCTTGCGACTAATTTGCGAGAAGAATCTTTTAAGCCTAATTAGTCCATGATTTGACAATGTAGAGCTACAGTAAACATGTGTTAATGACGGATTAATTAGGCTTAATAAATTCGTCTTGTGGAGCACTGACGAATTCTGTAATTTATTTTTTTATTAGTATCCGAACACCTCATACGACACCTTCTAAATTTTAGTCACCGGATGCAAACACCCCCTTAGTATTGTTTCTTGATTTCTTGATAGTACAGTGATAAGATAGTCTAGAAACTGTCAAATTTGCTCTCAAATATTCTGGTCACCATGCTATATCCAAAATGCCTAAGTTGGAGTGTTGGACATCCCATTTTAGTTTTCATGTCAATATTTGACTTGGTTGTTGCAAAAAAACTCTTTCATGCTTATGTCTGCTGGTTACTCAGTCGTCCAGTGGTGCACAAGTGCTGCTTTGGGCAACGAAAATTGTGACTGAAAAATGGTTTGGTTTGTCAGGTCAATTCTTACTCTTATTATCACTATAGATTTTGCTAGATTCACTAAACTGCTCATTAGCTATGCCCACCTCCACTTGATCAATTCTTACAGAACTGCACGCCCCGTTCGGCTTACCCCATATCCGGCTTGTTCGGCTTCTTTTTTTAGCCGGAACAGTGTTTTTCTCTCACAACATTTTAGCCAGAACAATGTTTTTCAGCCAATTTCAGCCAAGATTCAGCAAGCCGAACGGAATGTGTTCATTTTGCCTGATAGCTCAGTTTGCCAGTGGGTAGGAGTACTTTTCATTTAGTTCAGTTCACCAGGTAGCAGTTAGGAACAATTGTTTTCTTTGCGTTATGCTTACAAAGTATCACTCCTTCAGAGATTGTGCAATGGATAGAAGCTGAAAGTAGTAGTCATTTCCTGGCTTCTATTGCACATGTTAGGGTCCATTTCATTCTAGATACATTCCTCCAACTACTTGTTATCTACCGGCACCTGAAAAATGGAAATCAGTCTTTTCTATCCACATCCATATTTTCAGGTGTTCTCAAAATACGAAGAATGACTAATCTCTTACAACTGAAATTTAGGCATCTAATTTCCTGCATTTCATTGTTTTCAACCTGTAAGTCTGTTTAGTTTGCTGCTGTGTGTGTGTTCTTGTAAATATTTTTCTGTCCTTAATCTAATGATACCCATCAGCAGCCAATGTGGTCTCATATCTAACAGACCCTAAAATCACAGTAGGTATGAAAGAAATTTTGCGACAAAAAAATCAAACATGAAAAGTGGAAGATAGCATATAGTCACAAATCATCACCTGCAGAGATTTCTACAGCTCTCAATAAGTCAAAATTCACTGCTGACAGAATGGCTTACTACAATGTTCATAAGTTTGCTTCAGTTAATAGATACTATTTTCTTATCTCCTAGACCTGTTGTGACCTCAGTAGTATGTAAAGTATTGATGATTAATCTACTTCCGTGCTTTATGGCCAGAATTTTGCAAAAGAGAAGAGGAGGAAAAAGAGCCACAATAGTAACAGTACCACCAATATTTTGTCCCAAAGGTAAACCATACTAAGCTGATCTTGAAAGATAAACTTCCATGGTTTGTTGTGATGTCATGAACTCACTATATTTTGGGACAAGTAGCTTTTTGCAGCAAAAATGTGATGGTGACCAAGAAGAGATGCTTAATAATACAAAAAAAAGATAATGGACTTCCATTATGTGAATCTGAAGAGACATCACTGGATAGCAAATCTGAAAAATCAGTGTCAATTGTGTATCCCAGAAGGTATTGGAATTGTTTTCCCTTTTTCACATGTGTCATTTCCCAATTTTTTTATATATTTTTCATTTGCTACATTTGTCATCTTCCTTACACAATTTTTTTTTCACAGATTATGTTTGCAACCAGGCTGATCTTGACATTATTGAGCCTATTAAAAAAATCCCTTATAAACCTGGAAAGGAACAAGTTGTGCTCATCGACGATGCTTTCATAGACAGGATGAACATGGAGTGCCTTTTTCAGCCGAATGCATTTTTAAATGATCAGGTCATAGCATTTTTAAATGACCAGTTCATAGCATTACTTCTAACATTATGAATTTTTTTTCCCGAAATATTTACAGTTCCTGTTCACTTACTTGTGCAGGTCATAAATGCATACATTACCTTATTAAGGGCTCAAGACCATCTGAAGTTGAGGGCATGTGGTAAGGTCCTCCTAGAGAATTCTCTTATCTCCAGTATCCTCAAGAGGGATGGTGATGATAAAATTAAAATGGAGGACCTATATCCCATGCATGACGAGAATGGAATTAGCACCATTGAGCAAAGGGTTTTATCGTACCTGGACCATGACATGGTAAAAATCAATTTATATTATGATTTATTGCTGCATACAAAATATATACTTGTCTGATGCAATATGTACAATACTTATTTAGGTGTTTATTCCAATAAACATTGAACACACCCACTGGTATCTTGCCGTGGTTAATGCCAAAGAGTACGAGATACAAGTGCTTGATTCAATGGGCACTATATTTGGTCGTCAAGGCCTAATTCTTACTGTGAGTGTATTTTGTTGCTACAAAGTGTTAATTATTTGTTAGTTCATAAATAGATAATATTTTGTGAAACTAAAGATACTGCTCTGTCTATATGTCTGCAGATCAAGGGAATGCAGAAACAAATAGACATTGTATCGCAGCACAAGAATCTTAAAGATCACAAGTGGCCGAACATCCAGGTTTCTTCTTGGCCAGTTCGAGAGATACATTTCGAGCAGAAAATGCAGACAGACGGGTTCGTGCCAAATATTGTATTTAATAGAATTTTATTGTATTTATTGGATATGTGTGTGATGTTCTTTTTGCTGCTGCAGTTGTTCATGCGGTCTTTTTTTTTTTATTAAAGTATGTTGAACACTGGAATGGAGAAGGTCTGAACAACATAACTCAGGTATATCACACAGGGTTACCGTAGGTTGTTACATGTGCACTTAATGATACGTATTATAAAATGATAATGCATCATATTTTGTAGGAAGATATGACACAATTCAGGACAAAGTTGGCTGATATTTTATTGTCGTCAGAGTTAAACAAGAGAAAGGGATGTCTGTTAGTCAAAGTTGACGATGAAGCAATTGGAAGTCCATCTGATGTTGAAATACTACAGAGTCCTAATAGTCTATGCAAGAGGAAAAAGTATCATCAAACTTCTGCAGCATGCTCTCCTGATAGAGCTATGGACCCTTTTTTATTGTGTGGCCTTTCCACGTTTGACATGCCAATGACCAAGGAAGATTTGACAGATATGTTGTGTGACTATATCATGACAATTAATGATGCTGAGACATTGGAGTAAGCTTCTTATGATTTATTTTTTCAACAGTAATATATATTATTCAAGGGGCTATTGCGTTCTTGCCCCTATTTTGAATCCCAATTGTGATTTTACCCCCATTTTTTTTCACTTTGTGTTTTTACCCCTATTTTTCCAAAACGAAGGTTCAGTTTACCCCTACTCCGTGAACAGCAGGTAACGGTGTTAAAAAAGTTGACAGATGACAAGTTTGCCCTTCCGAATATTACGTTTTTCCCCTATTTCAAACCCAATTGTGATTTTACCCCCACTTTCTTCCACTTTGTGTTTTTATCCCTACTTTTCCAAAACAAAGGCTTCGTTTACCCCAATTCTTAACTCAATTATCTACATCGGATCAAAGCAATTAAAGCCAGGAAAGCCACGTGAAAAGACAAACTTACCCTTATCAAAAAGCCGTCTCGGGGTCTGGCCCTCAACGCTAGCCCTTACGCTCTTGGTGTGGTCTATGGCGCGGCCAGGTGGCTCTCAAGCGCTACCGAAGGCGCTGCCTCGCGCTAGCGTCTGGAGCGTCCCGCGTCGGACCAGCCACGACGCCGCTTTCCGACAGAAGACTTCCACGCCGAGACCGGCCGCTGCGCGTCAGCATTGAGATTGAGAGGGACGACCTGGGAGAGACGACACCAAGAGATAAGGTAAGTTTGTCTTTTCACGTGGCTTTTGTTAATTTTAATTGCTTTGATCCGGATATAGATAACTGAGTTAAGAATCAGGGTAAACAGAGCCTTCGTTTTGGAAAAGTAGGGGTAAAAACATAAAGTGGAAGAAAGTGGAGGTAAAATCACAATTGGGGTTTAAAATAGGGGCAAAAACGCAATATTCGAAAGGGCAAACTTGTCATATGTCAACTTTTATAACACCGTTACCTGCTGTTCACGGAGTAGGGGTAAACTGAACCTTCGTTTTGGAAAAGCAGGGGTAAAAACACAAAGTGAAAGAAAATAGGGATAAAATCACAATTGAGGTTCAAAATAGGGGCAAGAACGCAATAGCCCCATTATTCAAATGATCATATTCCGGGTCATAACTTATTATCTTATAGGACCATTTGGTTACGGAGCTTCCAACCTTACAATGTCTCCGTAACAGTACGTCAACTCCAAGCATCACTAAGGATGAAACAACCGATGCCCAAAGAATGTTTCAACATTGGTGTGCGGCTTCTTGCATACAGTGAGAATAAAAGGTTGACAAGTGCTAATGTGAAGGTTTCAAAGCATTACATGGACCTGAGATTCTACGTGAGTAAACTGTTTTTATATTATATAAGTATACTCTTGCACATTTTCTTAAGTAGTATATCCATAATAAGAAGTCTTTCTCATGTTTCTAAACATACTTGTGGAGCTTAATGTTCAAGAGTTGGCTAAATCATTAGAAACTTGGCCATATATGAAATATGATGCCTCACGTTACAGATTTGTAAGGATATTTCTCTATGATTATTGTGAGCCCTTTTTCGAAATTCTAATTCCTATCATTTTGTGGGTTCTTATGCCATGGAGAAAAGGAGGCATTTTTAACCTTTTTGTGCTGGACCGTGAGAAAAAAACTCTAAGCGTGCTTGATCCTACTCCTATTCCTGATTGGTGTAAAGATATGCCATACAAGTACTATGTGCGTAAAATCATCGATATTTCCAACTATTATAGACGTGCAACAGGAGTGAAAGCAAATGAACGTCCTATTAATGTCTTCCATTGGAAACATATACTCCAAAGTGGCATTCCAATCATAGAAGATAGGTAACTTTATTTGAACCATATTTTATTATGCTATATATAGAAATGGACCGTTAAGGGTTAATTGGTTGACCATTTATTATGCTATAGGAATTTATCTGCCCTCATCGTTCTGCAATTCATGTTCGCATGGAACAATGGACATTTCATGCCAATCTCTACGGTGAGCACAATACCTTATGTTTGTGGTCATATATATGTGTGTAATTCCAACTTATTATTGCTTTCAAAAAAACTTATTATTTATGTTTGTCTTCTGCACAAGATGACGATTAGACCTACTATGTTGTATGGTGCAGAATGTTGGCCTACGAAAAGACGACATGTTCAACAGATAAGTGTCGCGGAAATACGTATGTTGTGTTAGATTTACGGTCATACCAGAAGGGATCGAGTTCGGAACAATGATATACGTGATAGGTTAGGGGTAGCACCAATTGAAGAAAAGCTTGTCCAACACCGGTTGAGATGGTTTGGACATGTCCAACGAAGACCTCAGAGGCACCGGTGCGTAGTGGAATCCTAAGTCAAGATAGTAACGTGAAGAGAGGCAGAGGAAGACCGAAGTTGACTTAGGTAGAGGCAATAAAAGGAGACTTGAAAGGATGGAATATACTCAAAGACTTAGCCTTAGATAGGAGTGCTTGGAAAACAGCTATTCACGTGTCTGAACCTTAATTGCTTCTGTTGGGTTTTAACTCTAGCCTACCCTAACTTGTTTGGGACGTAAAGGCTTTGTTGTTGTTGTCGTTGAGTCTCACTAATGTAGCTTATCGAATCATTGCCAAATCCTTAGCAAACAGGCTAAAAGAAGAGCTTCCAAGTTATATTCACCAATCCCAGCATGTCTTCATTTAAGGGAGAAGAATCACTGACAATATTATTATTGCTCAAGAAATTATGCATTCTTTCAATCTAAAATCCTTTAACCAACATGCTTTTATGTTAAAGATAGATTTAGCTAAAGCTTTTGATAGAATTGAATGGTCTTTCATTCTTGATGCTATGCGACGTAGAGGATATCATGGTCACTTCATCGAGCTTGTGTATGCCTACATCTCATCCACGAGTTTTTCAATTAATGTCAATGGAGAATCGTACGGAAACTTTCAGGCTACCAGAGGAACTCGGCAGGGATGTCCATTATCACCTTACCTGTTTGTCCTTGCTATTAATGAATTATCTTTGAGATTGCAGGAAGCACTAGACAATGCGGACCTTACAGGCGTCACTTTGGGCTCAGGGTGTCAGCCTATCCACTCCATTCTCTTTGCTGATGATCTGATTCTTTGTGGCAAGGCTGATTTACAGGAGATAAACACTATCAATAATATTCTTCATACTTTTTATGCCATGTCAGGTCAAATTCCAAACTGGTCCAAATCTTCCATTCTTTTTAGCAAAACGGTGTGCTATGATGTGAGAGCCCAAATCAAAGCTGTCTTTCCTGTTGCCGATTTTGACCAAAATTCCATGCACCTGGGCCATCCTTTGATTATTAGCCATAGGGATAAAAATAAAGCCTATGATTTTATTTATCAAAAGTTCAAAACTAGACTCACTCTCACTAAGGCTAATACTCTCAACCATGCTGGAAGATTAACTTTGATCCAGTCAGTTTTTGCTTCAATTCCAATTTATTACATGACTAACATCTTATTCTCTAAGAAATTTTTGGCAAAGCTCACTTCTGTTATTAAGGTCTTTTGGTGGCAAGGTGTACAAAAAGAATAACAAAAAAAGCCCATCCACTAGAGATCATGGCAGACAATCTGCAAACCAAAAAAGGAAGACGGCTTGGGAATTAGAAAATTAGAGTTAGTAAACAAAGGTATGCTAATCAACACAACATGGAGACTAGTCCATGATTCGGATTCTACTGTTGCCAAAATTATTAAAGCAAAAAATTTTCCGTATGCCTCTCTGTGGACTGCTCCTTCTTATGTTCCAAAATCCATCTTTTGGTCTTCTATGCTAAACATTAGGAACCATCTTGAACATAATATCACCTTTTAATTTGTCAAAGAAAATACCTCTATTTGGAACCAACCGTGGTGTCCCGTTTGGAGGGAGATGCATGACCGCTTAAATTTAGAACAATCTGAGTACCAAATTCCAGACAAAGTTTCGGATCTCTGGCTCCCAAATTGTAAAAAGTGGAATGAAAATAAGATTATAGCTCTCTTTGGTCAACAAACATTGCAGGTTCTTTTGCAGATTCCTCTCATGGTGGGAGATGAACCCGATATTTGTGTTGGAAGCCAGCCCCTAATGGCATATGCTCGTCTAAAAGTGCCTACAAGATGCTAGCGACCGAGGAGGCATTAAGCAACCCACCTTCTAATATTCCTATGCAGGTGTTGCAAATCCTCAGGCATGTTTGGGCAGATAAAACAATTCAACCGCAAGTCAAAACCTTTGCCTGGAGACTTCTTAGACTTGCACTTGGAACAGCTTGCAGGGTCCATGGGATTATTCCGGCGGTCGATGATAAATGCTCTCGTTGCGGGAGCCCTGGAGATGACAATCATCTATTTTTTGGTTGCAACTTTGCTCGAGCTGTCTGGTTTGCTTCGCCCATTGGCCTTAGAGCCGATGCCTTACCACAAACAGGTCACAGATTCCACTCCCAGATTACTGCTGTGTTGCAGCAGAGGCCATCTCAAGCTACTGCAGGTATGATATTCTCCATTATGTGGTGTTTGTGGAAAGCTCGCAATGATCACAGATTTAACAAATGCAATTGGACGGTTACAAGAGTTTTGCATGAGGCAAAAACTACTGCAACAGCTTACAATATAGCAATTGAAGATAACACCATGCCTCAATCTATTTCACATGCTGCTACAACTCCAACAACTGCAGATGCTACTCACTTTACTACCTTGCAGACTCAGGAGAGAATTGCAAATGTTACTCACTCTACTACAATGCAGGCCCGGGAGGCTCATAAGATTTTTTGTGATGCCTCTGATCATTTCAAAATCCTGCTACAATAAACCAAACAGGGATTGGAGCCTGCATTCTCACCCAACCTGCTAGAAGTACCTCCCATGTTTCTTTTTTTGCAGGTAGCGATTCCATAGGTATTGGAACCATTGGAGGCTGAAGCTCATGCACTCCTTTTTGGTGCAAAGCTAGCGTCAGCTCTCAATCTGCAGGACGCAACACTATACACTCACAACCAAGTGTTGGCCTCCGCTGTACTTGCTGGATCGCCACACACTCATCTTGGACATTGGTCGATACGTCCAATCATTGCTAAAATACAGGACATTATCCAAGCAAAAGGCTATAAAGTACACAAGATCTGTAGAGAGGCAAATAAAATAGCTGATAGCCTTGCTAAAAAGACAAGATGAGCAAGCACCTTGAATTCTGGTCTCTTTTCTTGCCAGGCACTTGCGCATCATCCTACTAGTAATATCAAGCTTGTGGTACAAAACTACGACTGGGGTAACAAGATCCCCATCTCTGTAACATGTTTGTAACATGTTTGTGATGCAATGAAAGTTTTACTTTTCAAAAAAAAAAAAAAAAACCATTCTGAATCCAAAAGCTTCAATCATGTCTAAAGTATTTTGGTTGGGTTTCGATTCATAGTGACAGCTTTTGCAGTGATAAAAAGCTCAGACGAAAAATAATGCTTATGCGTGGACATTACTAACACAACAATACAAAATAAAAATGCCATTTGCTACGCCCGTCAGATTGGTTATTAATTCCGAGTCTTCAGCAAGGCAAGATCAACAGCATTGTGGAAACACTCTCAAATATATGTCCTACAACACTCTTTTTACAACATCCATATAAGTACATGGATTAATATTTTCCACCAAAAAAACCAAGAACACGAACCCACAACACAAAAGTGATAACCCAATGTTACAGGCTTTTTGCGCACAGTCCCAACAATTTTCCACCCAGCGTCAAAATCTCAGCCAATGTCTTGTTCAAAACGAAGGCTAACCTATCCATTCCTCTATCGCGTCCTACTTGCAATTTGGATGCTATTCACAGCATATAGCTTGATATTCCGTCTTCAGCTTCTCCCACAGACACATCATAAGCCTCGGGGTCTGGTAGTGGGCAAGGACGTAGTCAGCGTCGCACCCTTCATTGTAGAACCGGTCATCAGTCACAATGTTTACTTGTTGCCCACTGTTCTTGTACTGTTGGATCCAAATCCCCATTGCCACGTCTTCAAGTTTGAATAGCTGAGACAGCAGCAAGATCAATCCAGAGTTGCATCAGTGCTTAACAAATAACACTATGATATGTTGCTGGTTCATTTCCTACCTGAAGAGTCAGTTCCTGGTGGCCTCGGACTACAAACTTAGCAATGTCACGTGAGATTATGTATCCAGGACCATGAGCCCATGGCGGGTACATATCGAAAGGCCATTCCTGTATTTCTCATGGGTGAGAAAAGCAATTGAAACAAACAAAATCTCCACGCGGGATAAATGGAGTAGGCAGTACCTTCCGACTGATAAACCATTTGCTATCCTTATCTCTGTGGGGGGAAGACTGGAAAGAAATAAGGCCATAAAGAAGGCCATCAGAATTGCTCTTCTTCAGGTTCGAGATCACTTCATCGATCCTAACAAAAGCATCGTCATCCGTTTTCATGATGTACTTTGCTGGAACAATTTTTGTCTGCAAAATAGCAATAGACAAAAAGAAGGCTATGTTAAATTTTTAATCGGATTTGCATAATTTACCCTGTTCTGCAGCACTACTTCAGCAGTATTTTTTAGCGAACGAACATTGTTTTCCTCTCACAACAAATCAGCATAAGCATCAGCATAAGCCAAGATAGGTGCTAAATGCCAACATTTATTTTAGTTCTCCTGGTATAGGGAGTTTTGAAAGGTGCTAAATCAATACAAACCATGTATAAACTGATAAACAGATAAAAATCCGATACAAACTAAATCCCAACTTTTTATGTCGATCAAGTAGCAAGGCAGCAATAGCTTGTGCAGGGTGGTTGTGTCTCAACCTTTTCATTTCAATTTTTGTCAAAATGTTTAACTACACAAAAATGGTGAAATTACAAGTTATACTATGCCTCAAGTATTCCATCTGATTAGTACATAGAATTTTGTTCCAAAAAACATAGTACATAGAGTAGGATGAACTTATAGTATCTAGTAAAAACAACAAATCTGCAATAATATAGATAGATTTTATACTTTATGGAAACCTCTTGGTACCAAAATATTAACAGTTTTTAGAGGATCTTGTGCGCCAGCAAAAAAATAAGCATTAGGAATTCAAGGGGCTGGAAAATTCCAACATTTAAGTAGTTTGTGCGTTGCATTTGAAAAAATTCCAGCGTTGCAATTTGTTAATACCTATATCTATATCTATGTTTTTAACTGTACTTCTTTAAAGGGTAACATATGATGCAGATGGACCAAGAAATCTGATAACAAATGAGTATTGGAGCACAGAAACAAATCCACCACTAGTTTTAACAGACTACTAAATTGATTGCACCCAAAGCCATAATATACTTATATTGCAAAACTATAGCTCAGATAAAGCTATAAGTCTTAAACTCTTAATAACACAATTAAGTGGCTCAGAACTTACTGAATCAAAATTTTACCATCTGAATCATCCTCAAGCAGTGGTTTCCTAAACAGTAAACACTAAACAGTCGTGCACCTACCGTTTGGCCATTATTCAGACGAAATGGACATTTAAAGGGGTAAAACAGCCATTTAAACACGGGAAACAGTTGATTAAACAGAAATGGTGTACAGGGTTAGAGTTTAAACGGGCTAAACAACCATTTAGGAAACAGTGTCCTCAAGTCAGATTACCGAAACAAAAATATAATAAAGTTTCCACAAACAAAGGGTCAGCTGTAATTTTAAAATCACGCAAATAAAATGTCGCAATTCAATGAATGCTTTCAAGATAATGTTGTGTTCATTGAATAGTGGCGTCAAGCTTCGTGGCAAATGGTCAAGCAATACTGTAAAGGCTTTAATTGAATAGTAATTTTCGCCGCTTGGTGGTTATGGAAGCACAGGAATGCATGCGTCTTCGAGGGGGGCTCTCCTAATTTCAATGTCATTATGCAAGATTTAAAGGATGAGGCCAAGTTATGGTGTAGGGCAGGGACTAAAGGCCTCAGTAGCATCTGCCACAGATGAACATGTATAGGTAGCTGGTCATTTTATTTGGTTTCATTGGCTAGAGCCTTGTACTAGAACCTGCCCTTATGGGCATGTATGAGTCTTCTTAGACTCCCTCTCTTCTTAATATAATGATGTGAGCTCTCCTGCGCATTCGAGAAAAAAAAATGCTTTCCAGATAAGGTGAAATAGTTTCTATTACTAAAAAAACTCACTATCCACTTATAGTGGTGAGATAGTCAAACTCCAAAGAGTTAAAACTAAAGAAGTTTTCATGAGGTGAAAGCCAAAAAGAAAACATACCCCAAAAATGCAAATTGATATGGTCTTCAAAGTGATCAAAGTATAGTAGTCAACAAAGGGCATCAACTGGATATCACCATATAATTGAGCTTCTCTCCATAACTCCGTATTGACATGCTCATTCTTATGCTGCATTTTAGGCATAATAAAGATAGATGATGTGAGTAGAGTATATCACATCAAGAATAACTGAATATGGAAAGTAGATCAGACAACAATCTCAGTTATATGCAAGGAGAGAAGGTATATATTTCAAGAATACAAAATGGGCGTGACTCATGTCATCAAGAGCATTTGTAATGCATGCAGATGTGCTCGCATACTTTGGAGCTAGATTAGAGGTAGTGCACCTGACAGATGCAAAATGGAGCTATAGTAATATGTTCTTTCAATTTATCCTTTGTGGGTTCTTTTTTGTAGAAGTTTCATCTTATGCACCAATCTTTACAAATTCAATTAAGGAAGAAAGAAGAGCTATCATATTGAGAATATTCAATTCTCTTCAGGAATTTTGAGTTTTTTTATTTTTTTTTTATGCAAAGGCTACATAACACTTTAAGATGTAAGAGGCAGCAAGGGATGAAAACAGATTTCCAATCTATTTCATCTCTGTCCTCCTTTTCTTTACCCCTTTCCAAAAGTAGTATCAGTTCTTAACTATTTATATAACCTTGAAATGCACGAGCGAAGCATTCCTTAGTCCACAAACAAAATATAGGCAAAAAAGAACAGGTTGCGACATTATGTTCTCTACTACTTCTATTCTAAACATGGGACTCACTTCCAAACCCCTGTTCAGAGGAGTTGCCGCTTAGGCTCTTACATGCTGAAGCTAGTCGGAAAATAGGGAAATAATTTGGCTATGAAGAATTGAAGATGCAAGAATATGCAAGTGGTTCTTTACTGATACAGCAGGGTATCTCAACCAAAAAGAAACTGGTTCAAAAGACAGAAATAGAAACATTGTAATGTACTTGAGGCAAACAAAGTGAACTTACAAGACCAGTGAAAAATCGGACTACTACATCGCCTGAGCGAACAGCCTCATATTGCATCCATGTTCGCCTCAAAGCCATCCGCCGCTTGAAGTTGTTTCCAGTAGAGAAAGCACCAACCAGCAGAAAAGTTCGCTTCTTTGGCAGAGGTGGGGCCTTCAAAACCGCAACACTAGCCATGTCTATATCTTCTGAAACTGGCAACCCATTAGCCAAGAATGACAAGAGCTCCAAATCACCAGAAACCTTGACTTCAGCTACCAACCATGGCTCCAACCTCTATAAAAAACCTAATAGCTTTCACAATTATGTAACACTCAATTACTCACAAAAAGTGAAGTATGCAGTCTTATTGTTTTGCAAAAGTTCACCTCTCTATAGGCAGATGATGTCTCATGCCGCCCATTTACTGTCATATGGAACCCCCCTACACCAGCCCACAGTATTACTGTAAAAGGCTCTCCTCCAACAATTGAGAAACCACCACTTAATTGACCACGTCCTTTTGGACTCTGCCAATCTTCAGGTTGGTTCCCAGTAACATTTACCACAGTATTGTTATTCTCCTGGACGATCCTCTCACCCACTTTCTCATTGCAACGAACAAGGCCATCCACTGGACTGGTCAAACTCAGAAGATAGAATGTCTTTTATCAGTA